CCAAAGTTCCTTACGTGTAGAATTCAATTGGAAAGCCCTGGCTTTCTTTGGCACACAAGTATATTGCTTGAGGGGAAATATAGTCCTTGGGACACTTGTGAAAGCATTACTTTCCAAAGACAGTGGGCCATTCTGGATCTGGGGAAGACAGGAAAGAAAATGGAACCAAACCAGCTCCAAGATGCAATTGTATCACGATTTGCTATGCAGTTAACTTTCCCTCAGCGACTAATCAGTACCATGCGGAATCCCTGAGCTGGATTTCCCCATCTTCTGGAAGCCACATTTGCCACACTGTATCTTAGCCTTCCTGACTTCATTGTCAGGCAAACCCTAATAAAATGGACCCTGTATTTATTTCCTTGAGGCATGGCACAGTTTCCCCGACATCTACATTGTAGAACTAATGCAGTCTGATGCCAGTTTAACTGCCGTGGCTCAATGCTTTGGAGTCGTGGGATCTGTAGTTTGATGGGGCACTGGCGCTCTTTATCAGAGAAAGCCCAAGACCTTGTAAAATTACCACTCCCATGATTCCATAGCAGTGAGACAAGGCAGTTCAAGTGGTGTCAAACGGTATGAATCCAACAGTATAGATGCCCCCTTGCCAAGCATTTAAGGTTAGCCTTTGAGATTATCCATCTCTCAGGAATCCTGCCTCTCACTTGAGCCTCCCCTTGCCTCCCTTTGCAGAATAAAGAAACAAAAGACCAGGGTGGATTGTGCAGGAATCTTGGCAGCCTCCAATGGCTAATACTCGGAAACAATATTATATAGATTATTCTCCTTTCCACTGGAACCAATTCACAGCGAATTGAGGCTTCAATGGGAGTCAAGACTTTTTGGCTGCTTGGCTTCTGGGGGGGAAAAGACTTTACGACAAGCGCAACGTCGGCAGAACCCTGGAGCAGAATCCTTTGCAGGTGGCCAAATGGGAAATCCATCCAATGTCTCAAAAATAGGTCTGGGAAAGGGATTTCTAGTCTCGGTCACGAGGCGTGAGCAAGGTATCCATTTCATGGCCAAGTCTGGAAGGCATGGCTCACGCAACCCATCGTGGAAAAAATTGCCTGTTGCCAGGGCTTCGTTTTGATTATTTTGTGGGCAGCTGGCAGCCCCAAAGCATGGGCTGAAATCTTCCCCTTCAGCAGCAGCAGCAGCAGTAAAATAATAAGCCTACTCCATTTGTTTCTCCTTTAGTCTTGAAGACCTTTGTCCTGCTGTTATAAAAAAATTGGACCCCATTCAAAATAATTATGAATGAATTTATATTAAATATTAAATATTTTTCTGAATAATCTTGCAATGACAGTAGATTATCTCCCTATGTTTCGCCATTTCAATAAAGCCCTATGACTATGTTAATCAAATCACCTTTGGAAAACTACCAAGCCTCTCTTACCATTGGAAAAATACCAAGCCTTAGGGCCAGGCCTTAGCACAGTGGGTTAAACCACCAACTGCAGAAAATCTTGCTGATCGAAAGGTCAGCAGTTCAAGCCCAGGTTGGGGTGAGCTCCCAACCATCAGCCCAGTTTCTGCTTACCTAGCAGTTTGAAAACAGTAATGTGAGTAAATAAAAAGATAGCACTTTGGCCAGGAGGTAATAAAAGGCACCTATGCAGACATGCCAGCAATTCGATCGGGAGAACGACTAAAGACAACAAAGCTCCTCGGCATCGGAGATGAAGGAAAAGCGCCTCCCTGTGGCCAGAGTCGAGCACAGCCTCCAAATGCTTGAAATTGAAAAACATGAGAAGCCTTTATTTCTGACTATGTTATGTCTGTCTTTGTTAATTGTATAACGACATTGAATGTTTGCCGTATATGTGTACTGTAATCTGCCCTGAGTCCCCTTGGGGAGATAGGGCAGAATATAAATAAAGTTTATTATTATTGTTACTCAGCCCAACTAATTCTTTCACAATGGATTGGGGATTGAGAAAAACTGCTCAATGTATACACACATTCCAAGCACACCCAGGTCCCATTGATTCAGTCTCCCCTGTAGTCATGAATTTGAACTTCACTCTATTGATCAACTCTTATTCTATTGAGAAACTTTCTAAAGTCATTTGGGGTTTTATTTTTGCTTCTGTGCTGGCACGGCTGTGCCAGGACATTTGAATTCCTTTTCTTGCACTGATTAGTTTGTTTGAATTTATTTGTGCCTTGCATTTTGCAATTGGGTAGCTTTCCCCAGGTTGCAATCATAGGACCAACAACCTATCAATCATCATTAGAGCCTTTAGATCCGCCCCTTTCCCCAGGTTTTGGAGGGAAAGGGGGGCTTTTAGTTCAGTCTCACAGTTTGGAGCCTTACAGCAAGATGTGTGGCTTTCTGTCCCACCTGTAAAAAGCTTCACTTGTTACAGCTTTTGCTGGGGAAAAGGAAAACCTCTACAGCTTTGCTGGGGAGTAAAGTTACAGTTCCACAGCTTTGCTGGGGGAATATAGCCAGCTTTGCTGGAAAATAAAGGGTTCCATGGCTTTCGTGGGGCAAATCTACAGGACACCAGCTTGGCAGATCTACAGCAACCATTGCCTGGTAAGGGACCACTCAGGCTATCCATAATGCAGCTTGGATCCGGGAGTTGGGGCTTCACGCCAGCAGGGTAAAGAAAGATTGCCCAAGCAGGGGTCAGAAGGTTTCCTGAAAGAAGATAGGAACAGTTTATCAAGCAGTTGCCTGTCCCTTGTTGGCAGATCGAGAAAGCTACCAGTTTTTCATGACTATAAAGCATTTAATTCATTTGTTCGAAGATTTAAGCCTTAATAAAAACTTTGTTGAACCTATTTTGAGCCTCTACATAACTTTGTGTTGGGAAACCTATGGGACCCTTTAGCTGAGGCACCCCGGCGTCCCGTTGGGCATACAGAAAGCACGTCCTGTAAACAGACATTGTCATAGGCCCAGCGAGTGACAGCACAGCTTCCATTAATAAGATCAGGATTTATTTGCTACTAAATCAGTGCATGAGCTGCGGGCAACAAGCCCGGCCCATTGAACTGTTGATTACTCCCAAACCCCCTATGTGTTCACCCGCTTTTGCATTTAACATCAATACATTCCTGATGTTCACAACCTTCACAGAGGTAGTATCATGGGAAGGGTAGCTGAAGTGACTTATAGTTTTCCAGTCACAATCTCCCTGGAACTGCTGCACACTGGACAAACAAGTGCCACAGAGGCAAGCAAAACATAGCAGAGCCCACTCGTGTCAAAAACATAGTCAATTAGTCAGCCAACTGGTCAGCAGAGTACAACTGCAATGTCTGACCTTCTTCACACACTGTTTAGTAGGGCTGGGAGGTTTCGTTTCGTAATTTCGTAATTCGTTAAAAATTCGTTATTTTTTTTGGTTATGAAGCGATAACGAACCATTCAGGAGCATCTAAAAAACGAAACGAATTTTTCAATTCGTTTCGTATTCGTTTCGTATTCGTTTCGTATTCGTTTCGTATTCGTTTCGAAATCGTTTCGTTATTATTTCTGCATGTCTGGGGCAAGTTTTATAGCTGTTGTTTGTTTAATCAGTGAAAATTATAAATATCACACCAACAGTCAACAACAGAGGGAGAGGGAAGCTTCAGAAGTTCCCCCTGTCCCATATGGAGGTTTTTTAGCATATTGCGCGGTCGCGTCCGCCATTAACGAATCGATTCATATTCGTTTTGTATTCGTTTCGTATTGTTTTGTAATTTTACAAAATTTCGTAAATATCGAACTTTTTTAAAGAAACATTTCGGAATTCTTTTAAATATCGAAACGCAAAAAACCCCAAAAACGAATCGAGTTTAGAAACAAATTTTTCCGTGGTTACCCAGCCCTACTGTTTAGGAAACTCACAGATTCAGGTTTTGTCCAAAAATATCAAGCAGCTTTAATCTTCACCGTTGCACTATTGACAGCTATACAATCAGGATCTGCAGATCCACAATCAGATTTGTACATACAAACAATTCTTAGAAAACCATACACAGAGAGATACTCATGACGAGATTCACACAGGGGGAGAAAGACTGAGCATTTTATCTCCCTTTTATAACCATCTGCTGACCTGTCATCAGTAAGAGACAAATGACAGATGCAACCCCTTGTCATAAACCTCACATGATTATGACTCGGCCATTTCTACATGTCCCTTAGGTATTTCATCACCTGGAATACTGTGTCCAATTCTGGGCACCACAGTCCAAAAGAGATATTGACTCTAAGCTGGAAGGTGTCCAGAGGAGGGCCACTAAAATGATCAAAGGTCTATTAATCCTTTTGAGGATACATATCTAAGGAATGTATATAGTGTCATTTAAGGAATATTTACTTTTGGACTAATGTATACTGAAACAATTCTTGTATGGCAAAAGTTTGTTAATTGTTGAGATGTATGAAATAAATTTTATAATTTAAAAAAGAGAAAAAAGAATCCTTATGAGGAGTGTCTTAAAGAACTAGGCATGGTTAGCCTACAGAAGAGAAGGTTGAGAGGAGACACAAGAGCCATTTATAAATATATGAGAGTGTCCTAAGGAAGAGGGAGCAGACCTTGTTTTCTGCTGCCATGGAAACTAGGACTCAGAAGAATAAGTTCAAATTACAGGAAAGGAGATTCCACATGAACATTAGGAAGAACTTCCTGACCATAAGAAGAGCTGTTCAACGGTGGAACTCTCTGCCTCAGAGTCTGGTGGAAGCTCCTTCCTTGGAAGCTTTTCAACAAAGGCTGGATGTCTATATGTCAGGGGTACTTTGTGCATTTCCTGCATGGCAGGGGGTTGGACTAGGTGGCCTATGTGGTGTCTTCTAAGTCTATGATTCTAGGAACGGTCCTTTGAAGGCAACCATCAGGCGGATGTGGCCCTCAATGAAAATGAGTTTGACACTTAAGTTTGAATCTCTGGTTTACTACTAAAATGGAACGTGTCATGAAATGATGCACGTCCAAAGAGTGTGAAACTTTGGCTAAGCTCTGCCAGAATGCAACAAGGCAGCCTCTCAACTCCTGGGGCTGTGACTGCGCTTCTCTCCCAATCCTTCCTTTTTGCTCCATTCCAACTCAATGTTGCGGCTGCGGCTGCTGCACCTCCTCCCATGAACTCCCTCCCACTTCCTTCCAAGGAGTTCCTTCTGTCAGGGCAGAGCTGGGAGCAGGAGGAGGAGAAGCCTGAAGGATCAGTGGAGAGCACTTCTTTCTGTGGAGAGTGGAGCTCCTTGGCTGAGCATCACTTTTGGTGGACCTTTGGGCAGGTGGCCACCACTGCCACCAATTCCCTCTTGGGCCTCCATGGACTTCTACGGAGGGCTGACGGTCGCCTGGGCTCTCTGCCTCCTCCCAGGTAAGGCCAAGGGGACTTTGGGGATGTGGGATTTGTGGCATGGAAATGCAATGCTCTGTCCGCCAGCACTGTCTCAGCAGTCTGGTGCTGAGAAAGAAAGCGCTAAGTCAGCAACAAGTCCAGATTGCTCAGATAGTTCTATTAATCATTTGCACAGTGATGGATACACTTTCCCAGTGAACGTGGTGGGTCCAATGAGTCCTTTTCTCTTCCCTGAGAAGAGGAATAGTTTGCAAAGTTGTGGAGAGGGAAGCAAATTCTGCCTACGTCAGCTTCTTGATTTTTTAGTCTTTGCAAATGTTTTGGATTTCTCTCCTTTTGCACTTTCTTTGGGGTGAGAGAACTTTGCTGAAGTTTGCCTCTTTGCAACGTTTCTCTCTGTGTGTCTTTCTGCTTTACGGATGAAATGCAAGCAATAACTTTGCAAAAGTAGCACTCCTTCCTCGGTGCCCGTTTCCTTGCTTTCACATATGGTTTGAAGCCTGGCTGAAGACGGCAGATAGAGTTACAAAGGAGGAGGGCAAGAGAGTGGATTTTCAACTTATTATTGGCTGCCTTCCTGAAAATTTAAACTCAGTTATACAGTACAGAGAGAGGGGGATGTCATGCTGCTGAGTGTCTACATTTTTCTTGCTTCTGTTCAAAGTATTTTTTGGCAAAGCCTCACTGCCCAGCACAGAAGCAAAGAGGCCAGGAACTGAGATTCTCTAACAAAAGGAACACAGCTGAACCCAGTGCTCTGAAGTAGCATCTTTATAAGCAAAGCTACCCCCCCAAAAAAAGAAAAAGAGGAGCATGTGCGTTTTCTCCAAATGTTCCACAAATTACAAAGGCAGCCAAAGCAAAGCGCATTGTGGTTTTCGCACAAGACTGGTATGCGCGTTACACGTGGACAGGAGGATGTGTTTTGCTTGCAATCCAGCTGAGCGCAGCAAAAGGAGGCCAGTCCTCTCCCACCCAGGAATGGTTTTCCCTTCTAAAAGGAGCCAACAGTTTCAGACAGAAACTCCATTTGTATCTGAAACTGTCGGGTCCCTAAATCATACTTAAAATCCCATTGCTGTGCTGTAAAAGGATCGACTTTCAGGCTGTAAGCAGATTTCTGTATATTTCTTTCTCATGAGTGAGAATAGTGATGCCACAGCAGTTTTGGAGGCAGGAGGGAAGCACTGAATCAGACAAAATGAGAAAGAATACGTGAAGGTCAGCCTTAACAACAGTGGTTTGGAGAAGGTCAACAAACAGATGAGATAGTAATGTTTCACCCCATTGTTCCATGGCCATAGATCCAGGGGGTGCACTGAAGGGCATCTAGTCCTATCTCCTGGGATGATTGGGATAACCTGCATGCTAATATTCTGCTCTTGGGTACCTTTAGTAAAGGTAAAGTTCTCCCCTTACATTAAGTCTATTCATGTCCTATTCTGTGAGGTGGTGCTCATCTCAATTTCTAAGCTGAAGAGCCGGCATTGTCCATAGATGCCTCTTACATCATTTGGAGCACCATTACCTTCCTGCAGAAACGATACCTATAGCTCTACTCACATTTGCATGTTTTCAAACTGCTAGGTTGGCTGAAGCTGGGGCTAACAGTGGGAGCTCACCCCACTCCCCAGATTTGGGGACCAAGCTTTTGGTCAACAAGTTCAGCAGTTCTGTGGTTTAACCCACTGTGCCACTAGGGTACCTTTATTCCTTAATGCTTGCACCAGAATTTCACTCTTAGCGCAGCGGTTCTCAAAGTATGCTCCACGGAGCCCTTGGGGCTACACAAAGCATACTGAGGGGCTCCACAATTCCCTCCTCCTCCAAGCTTTTCTACTCTTTTCCGCTCTTCCTCACCTTCCTTGCCTCCAAAAGCCTTTTTAACTCACCTTCCTCACTGCCCAGATCCTTTCCCCCTTGCCTTGCTTCCTTCCAAAACCCTCCCACCACTCAGAGGGCGCTTTGTGCTTTTCCTGTATGGACTGAATGGCCCCTGGAGTTGCTCCTATTACAGTCATTATTATTACAAAGGCTGGGTGGCCATCTGTTGGGGGTGCTTTGATTGTGCTTTTCCTGCATGGCAGAAAAGGGTTGGACTGGAGGGTCCTGGGTCTTCCACTGAAATGCTGTTAAGTTTATGTTGGTCAAAAAGTTTGCCTATGCATGATATATAATATAATATAATATAATATAATATAATATAATATAATATAATATAATATAATATATAAACATTTCTTGGGGCTCCATGAGAAAATGCAAACAGGGCTCCACGGCTGAAAAAGTTTGAGAACCCTTGCCTTAGAGCAGTGGTTCTCAACCTGTGGGTCCCCAGATGTTTTGGCCTTCAACTCCCAGAAATCCTAACAGCTGGTAAACTGGCTGGGATTTCTGAGAGTTGTAGGCCAAAACCCCTGGGCACCCATAAATTGAGAGCCGCTGCCATAAAGGGATGGAGTGAACACAGGCATAGGAAAACACTCTGGTCTGGAGACAACAGCAATGGTAGAGGAGGTTCACAGTGTCCTCAATTCTCTCATAATTTATTATTTTGTTCTTGTTTGCTGCCATCAAGTTGAGTTTGGACTTGTGGCAACCCTATGAATGAGAGGCCTCCATGATCTCTGGTTATCAATAGGCTTGCTCTAGTTCTGCAAACTTCTGATTTGCATGGTGTCTCTCCATCTGGAAGTGGTCCTTCCTCTTTTCCCAAGCAAAGTACTGTTGTCTTTTCTAGCAAGTCCTGTCTTCTTGGCTTGTCGGGAGAGTTCAGGCTTGGTTTGGTGTAAACTGGCATCAATTTGGCATTGGTTTGTGGCAACACTTGGACCGAGAGGCCTTCAAGACTCTCTGCCCAGGCCTTGAAGACTTTATGGCTTCCTTGGTGGAGACCATCCACCTGCCTTCCTCTTTCCCTCCTGCCTCTTTCTTTCCAAAGCCCGATCTCCTTTTCTACTGAGTTGTATTGTGGCCCCAGTATAATCATTTTGACTTTGAGGGAGATTTCAACCTCAGTTGTCTCTTAGGACCCTTTCAGACAGGCCCTATACCCCAAGATCTTGTCCCAGGTTTTCTGTTTATCCCAGATTATCTGGCAATGTGGACTCATATAATCCAGATGAAAGCAGGAAACCTAGGATCCGATCCTGGGATATAGGATCTGCCTGGAAGGTCCCTAAGAACCATCCATGGTATTCACAGGACTTTCCTCCAGCACCATTCACAAAGAAACTGAGCAACACAGAACCAAAATATCTTAGGTTTCCTTGACTCTGTCCTCCCATCCATAATCCAGCATTTGTGGTGATGGAGGGAACAGTTGAAGGAGAAAGGAAAGAAGGAGAAATGGATAAGGTGCTGACACTTCTGATGGGCTGGAAGTTGGTTTTGCTACTACTACCAGCATTAGGTTGACCTTGACAGAGGCATACATTGCGCATTCATGACCGGATGATCACATTGTCTAGAAATGTCTACCATGAGCGGATGGGCCACCACAGAGTAACCACAGGTTCTCCAATGCAATGTTCTACAGAAGAGGCAATTCACAGAGTCAGCGGGGCTGCCTCCCAAGAAAGAAAGACTGCGAAGGAGACCACTTTGCTCCTGCCAGGTAGATGGTCTGGGCACTGTGCCCTTCCTACCAATGTATTTGGGACCAAATCCTCTTGGTGTAAGATGCATGCATCTGTGCCAAAGTCAACTCGGTACTGGCAGTAGTTGTCCAGACCTTCCCCAATGGCAATGGTTGGGCATTTCTGAATACCGATATTCAATTACTTACTTACTTACTTAGGCGATCCCTCGTTGGACGAGTAAGATGGTCTTCCATTATGTTGTTACATAGAGTTATTGACTGAATGACTTCTATATCCAGGGTATTTTATTAATATTTTATTGGAGTCAGAGAACAGCTCTCTGCCCCAAGAAGCTTACAGTCTAACATGACTGCAGTTCGCAATCGGAACCAAGTGTGATACTTACTTCGGATGGAAATGTTTTGTGTTAGGGTTGGGCTGCTGATCCGACAGCAGGACCTGGGTTCAAGGGGAATTGTTTGCTGGAGCTATCCAAAGTGCTGAAATCTCTTATCTCTAAAATACCCTATTTACTTGAATTGAATGCTCACCTGTTTGGGGCAGCCCCCGGTGGTGCAATGGCTTAAACAAAAAGGTCAGTGCTTCGAATCTGGGGAGCAGAGTGAGATCCCATCTGTCAGATCTAGCTTCTTATGTGAGAGAAGCCTCCCACAGGATGGTAAAACATCCAGGCACCCCCTGGGCAATGTCCTTGCAGACAGCCAATTCTCTCACGTCAGAAGCAACTTGCAGTTTCTCAAGTTGCTTCTAATATGAGAAAAAAAAAACCTGTTTTGGGGCTAAATAATAATAATAATAATACTACTAATAATAATAATAATAACAATGGCTGAGTGTCAGCTGCATTAAGATCACTCTGACCAAAAGGTCATGAGTTCGAAGCCAGCCCGGGTTGGAGTGGGTTTCCAACCAATTGTGTGTAGCCTGTTGTCGACCTTTAAAACCCAAAAGACAGTTGCATCTGTCAAGTAGGAAAATTAGATACCACCTTAAAGTGTGGGGAGGCTAAATTAACTAATTTATGAGGCCATAAAGAAGACTCCAGTAGAGCATTCCAGTGGGGAAGCATGCGGGGAATGCGGAAGAACTTCATCAGCGTCGCAGATGGACGATGAAAGCGACAGCTCCCCTGGCGGCCAGAAAAAGTTAAATAGCCTCTGTGTATGTCTGCATATGTTTGTATGTCAAAAATTGGCATTGAATGTTTGCCATATATGTGTACACTGTAATCCACGCTGAGTCCCCTGTGGGGTGAGAAGGGTGGAATATAAAAGCTGTAAATAAGATAAATAATAATAAAATAAATATACTTTATTTGTACCCCGCCACCATCTCCCCGGTGGGGACTCGGCGCAGCTTACATGAGGCCAAGCCCAACAACGCAATACAATAGAGAAAATCAAAACACAAATAACATGATAAATTACATAAAACATAAAATATGAGAACACAGTAAACAAAATAAAATTACATGACCTTTCCAAAATGAGGGTACGCATTAGATTCGCATCATATGGTCATCTTAATGCTGATCCAAAGCAAAAGGGGAAGCTGCTTCAACTCCTCCTCTCTGAGGGACCTAATCTCTCATTTAATTACATTTATTTGATGCTATGTGATGCTGGGATTTGTAGTTTGGTGAGGCATCTGACTCTTTTGGCAGAGAAGGCTCAAAGTATTGTCAAACTACAGCTCCCAGGATTCGATAGCATTGGATCAAGGCAATTAGGTGCATTCATTCTACAGGAGGCCTGAGCAAACTTGGGCCCTCCAGGTGTTTTGGACTCCAACTCCCACAATTCCTAACAGCCTCAGGCCCTTTCCTTTCCCCCCTCAGCCGCGTAAGCGGCTGAGGGGGAAAAGGAAGGGGCCTGAGGCTGTTAGGAATTGTGGGAGTTGGAGTCCAAAACACCTAGAGGGCCCAAGTTTGCCCAGGCCTGTTCTACAGCATAGCTGCATCCCACTGTCGAATGAGTGAGGTTTGACACAATTGAACTGACATGGCTGAATGCAATGGAGTTTTGGGAGCGGCAGCAATGTGGATGTTGCCGAACAACTCCGTTCTTTTCCGAATTGCAAACTCCGCAGCAGGATGCCAGCACATATCAATGTACATACACTTCAAAACCACACAACTTCTCACTCCTAATTTAATATTATTCAATGACTCACACCTATTAGAGCGGGATTAGCATTGAGCATCGGCATTAACTGTCGTCGCGTCTGTCCGGGACACCAAGATAATCCCTATACAATTTCCACTGGGTTTTTTTTTCTGACCCCAAGTGAACCTCGAAGTTGCTGATGCGTGCATCCATCCATAGGCCATAATTCTCAGTGTGAGTGTTGCTTTGGGCTTTGTGTGTGTGTGTGCTTGTGTGGTTCAGAGGAAAACATATGTATCTTTAGGCCATTAGAGTGTTGCTATGGTAACTTGTGTTATAATAAAATCTTCCAGTTTAGATCTTCTTTTCCATGAGCGTAGTCCTTCCCCGGATTAATCATAGGCATTGCTGCACAGAACTCCTCAGAATGATAAAAAAAACCCGAAATACATTTATTTCCCTCCATTGTTTTTCCAATGCATCGTAGGAAAACTTGCAGGTAGAAAGCAAAATTTGAATAGTTTCAGTGGAGACGCCTCAAAATCTCCCTTGACATGGATAGTGAATTGGTGGTTCCATTTGGAATTGGAATCACATACACACCTCGTCATTCAAAAGCGAGATTGCTTTAGACTCCTTAACACACTTCCTCATGTGGTGACCCCAACCGTAAATTTAGTTTCGTTGCTACTTCATAACTGTAACTTTGCTACTGTAATGAATCATAATGTAAATATCCGATATGCGGGATGTATTCTCATTCACTTGGCACAAATATCCGATACACCCAAATTTGAATATTGGTGGAGTTTGGAGAAAACAGATGTTGTCATTTAGGAGTTGTAGTTGCTGGGATTTATAATTGACCTGCAATCAAAGAGCATTCTGAACTCCACCAACAATGGAATTGAACCAAACTTGGCACACAGAACTCCCATGACCAACAGAAAATACTGGAAGGGTTTGGTGGGCATTGACCTTGAGTTTTGGAGTTGTAGTTCACCTACATACAGAGAGCACTGTGGACTCAAACAATGATGGATCTGGCCCAAACTTGGCATGAATATTCAATATGCCCAAATGTGAACACTGGTGGAGTTTGGGGAAGATAGGCCTTGACATTTTGGAGTTGTATTTGTTGGGATTTATAGTTCACTTACAATCAAAGAGCGTTCTGAACCCCACCAACAATAGAATTGGGCCAAACTTCTCACACAGAACCCCCATGACCAACAGAAAATACTGTGTTTTCTGATGGTCTTTTGACGAAACCTCTGACATCCCCTAGTGACCCCTCCGGAGGGGTCCTGACCCCCAGATTGAGAAAGGAAAAGGGCCTGAGGCTGTTAGGAATTGTGGGAGTTTAAGTCCAAAACATCTGGAGGTTCCAAGTTGGCCCATGCCTGCTCTAGATTAACCACTTTGGTCTTCTCTTTGCACAGCTGAGTTTTTAATAACCTTTCTTTCCCCCAGGATTCTGTGATGCTTTCAACATCGACACCAAAAGGCCGCGGATCATACCAGGCTCCAAGGAGGCGTATTTTGGCTACACGGTTCAGCAGCACGAAATCAATGGGAAGAAATGGTAAAGGAACCGTCCCTTGTTCCTCGACTGAGTGTTCCTGTTCTGAGGCCAATTTGGAGGATTTGAACCAATAATGTCTTGCCTGTGGTCTCTGTGATGGTTGCTCGGGAGCAAAGCTGAATGTGTAGAAATTTGTATGACTCTAAAATAATACTGTGTTTGTGTGTGTGTGTACACAAGTCAAAGTATGTATGTGTGTGTGCCTGTTTGATTGTACCCCAAGGGCTGTTGCTAGGTAAAGTGATCTTCTGTGATGTCACTGGATAGGCTGTTGCCAGTTGGAGAGTTGGTATCACTAGGTGAAGTGGCCCTCTGTGATGTCACAGGATATGTTGTTGCTAGCTGAACTGCTGGGTATTGCTAGGTGAAGTGGCCCTCTGTGATGTCACCGTGTAGGCTGTTGCCAGGTGGAGAGTCGGTATTGCTAGGTGAAGTGGCCCTCTGTGATGTCACAGGACATATTGTTGCTAGCCGAACTGCTGGGTGTTGCTAGGTAAAGTGGCCCTCTGTGATGTCACCATATAGGCTATTGCTAGATGGAGATATGGGTATTTCTAGGCCAAGTGGCCCTCTGTGGTTTTACTAGTTAGGTCACTGCTAGATGAAGTGACCCTCTGTGAGGCCACAGGATAGGGTGTTGCTAGGTAAAGAACTGGGTATTGCTAGGTGAAGTGGTCCTCTGTGATGTAATCAGAGAGGCTGTTGCTAGGTGTATTGCTAGGTAAAGAGTTGTGTATTGCTAGGTGAAGTGGCCATCTGTGATGTCACTGGATAGGATGTTGCTAGGTGAAGTGGCCCTCTGTGATGTCACTAAATAGGTTGTTGCTAGGTGGAAAGTTGGGTATTGGCAGGTGAAGTGGCCCTCTATGGTGTCACTGGCTAGGCCATTGTTAGGTCAAGTGGCCCTCTGTGTTGCCACCAGATAGATTGTTGCTAGGTGAAGGATTGGGCTTTGCTAGGTGAAGTTGTTCTCTGTGATGTATTACAGGGATAGGAGGAAGGAGAGCCAATCTTCCTTCTTTCTTTCCTTCCTTCCCCCCTCCTTTCTCTTTTTCTCCCACCCTCCCTTCCTGTCTTCTCCAATCATTCCCTTCCTATTCCTTCCCTTTCCCCCCCTTTTCTCTCGCCTTCCTTTCTTCCAACGCGGGAAGAGTGTGTGCAGTGGTGACAGCAAGGCCATTAATGGTAGCTATAGCAGGGGCCAGATAAATGATCTTCGTGGGCCTTATTTGGCCCGTGGACCATTGTTTGAGGACCCCTGTGTAGATCCACCTCCTTTAACTTTTCATATTTCTTGACTTTAAAATTGCTCAGTAGTTCCAGGGAGGAAATAAAGTTTTTTTAATGGCTCAGTGATGTAAACTGGTTTTCTTCGGATACCGGGCATGTTATAACTACTTTAATAAAACTAATGAGCAAAGGCTAGACATCCATGGGGAGCCTGAAATGCGATGCCTCCCAGAAAGTCGTTCAACATCATTTCCCCCTTTTTTTCCCACAACCTCCAAAGGCAAATAATAAATCAGAAAGCAAAAAAAATGCTGTTGTAAAGCCACAATGACTCATATCGGTTACAATGTGAGTCACTAAAGAAATGCTGCAAAAGAGAAGGACAAAGGGACGGACGGACAGCCCTTCTGGACCCAAAAAATTGGCAGAAAGAAGGGTTGCGAAACGTCAAAGCCCCAGAAGCCAAACCACAACATGATGCTAAAGGGAAAACCAGATGACCGTCAGTCATTGCAATGAATAGACTTTCCAAAAAAGAAAAAAAAGAAGAAAAAGAACTCCTGCAAGCGGGAGGCCTTTGGAAGGAAAAGCTGCCGAAAAGAAGCAAATTGGGGAAAGAATGTGCGAAAAAAGAAAAGAAAGGCTGGTATAACTCAAGCAGAGCCGTTCCCATTCCTGGCCGCCCACCAAATATCCAAAGAGGAATTTCAAATCGCTTCAGCCTCTTGGATGGGCTCTAAGTCAAAGCCAGGGACTGTAAATGCAAATATAGTTCCAAATGCAGTGTTGATTGATATATATAGTTTAATTTTTCTATCCGGATTTATACAGCAGTCAAGGCAGCTCATAAGCATTGACAAAGAGAGTATCGTTTCGAAAAGTTATTTGTGCTAAAGTTCAAACAAGAATTAAGCAAAAGTTCAGATAAATACACAAGTGTGTGAGAGTGTACAGCGATATGTATGTAAGTCAAAGTGTGTACATATGTTTGTGGGTTGGTTTGTGGGCTTGTTGGGCCCACAAAGGCTTGACAGATCTGGATGAAAGCTGGCACACGTAATCTCTGTTATCAAACTTAAAATACCAGCAGAGTTTTGAATGGAAAATCGGCCACTTTTGGGAGCAGGGCCTCCAAAATGAAAGAAATATGTATGTAATGTTCAGAAGCAACCACAGGAGGGCGGTATATAGATAGAAACACTGCTTCAGAGGGAGAGGTAATCAATGGAAGAGTGCTAGAGCATCGCCAAGGAGATGTTATTGGAGCCAATCAGAGAGGCAGAGTGTTGCCGCGGAGACATTGTAAGAGGAGGTATTCTCAGAAAAGGGAGAAAGCAGCCAAGCAGGGCCCTCTGACACCCAGGCAATGCTAGGTGTGTGTGTGTATGATTGATCATCATATAAAAGATACACCCCCTTGAAAGTCCTGTTACATGAACCCTATACCATATGTTATGTCATTCCAACTCCCATTGTCCCCTAACATTGAGCCATGGCAGTTACAAAGGTGTCATGCTGCACTGGAGAGAGGCTGGATGGCCACCTGTTGGGAGGGCTTTGATTGTGCTTTTCTGCCTGATGGACTGGGTGGTCTTTGGAAGTCCCTTCGAACTCGAAGAGTCTTTGATTCTATAGCCTGATTTCTCCACAAACCTGCTAATGTCTATGAGGTTGCATGGCCATATGTCAGGAGGGCTTTGATTGTGCTTTTCTTGCCTGGCAGAAAGAAGGGGGTTGGACAAAATGACCAAACTCTATTATTCTATTATGATGATAATGATGATGATGAAGAAGGGGCTGGATGGTCATCAGTCTTGGATGCTTTGATTGTGCTTTTCCTGCCTAGCAGAAGGGGGTTGGACTGGATGGCACATGTGGTCTCTTCCAACACTATTATTCTATCATTCTATGAAGGTTTGGCAATCAATAAGGGTCTGAATGTCCTGGCTCCGGTAGACACAGTGGTGTTAGTCCAGATATTCAATGGGTGCTTAGGGAGTTGGCAGCCTCAATGGGTGTCATAAGAACAGATCTAGCTAGAGACATGGAAGAGGGGTTGGTTTGGATGGCCTTTGGGGGTCTCTTCCAACACTAAGAATCTATTATTATTATTATTATTATTATTATTATTATTATTATTATTGTAATCCATCTGTGGTGCTTTGATTGTGTTTTTTCTGCCTGGCAGAGGGGGGTGGTGGTGGTCTGGATGGCCTTTGGGTGTCTCTTCCAATTCTAAGATTCTATTATTATTATTATTATTATTATTATTATTATTATTATTTATTGTCATCTGTCTGGGGTGCTTTGATTGTGCTTTTTCTACCTGGCAGAAGGGGGTTGGTCTGGATGGCCTTTGGGGATCTCTTCCAATTCTAAGAGTCTAATAGTGATGTCTGAATGCTATGGGACCATGGGGGAAGTAGTTTGCAGTGCCATTCTGCATAGAAGGTTAAAGACCTTGCTTTTTACCTTCCCAAGATCCCATAACATTGAGCCAAGTTGCATTAATTCTATTGTGTAGATGCACCACAGGTTCTGGTTTCCTTGTCCTCCTCCAGTGCTAATCATTGGGAAGGGGGGTCTTCCAATAGCAGTGGAAAGTATGGAAAGAAAGCCACAGAATGACCGAATGCGCTCTCCTCTGAACGCCATCCAGCGCATGAGCTCATCCTTGTCTTTCCAGATCGTCAGCCGAAGCTCATTCTTCCCTGATTTAGTGCAATTGGCTCCCTGCTCCTTTGCAAAAAGAAAGAAAGAAAAGAAGCACACGCTTTGGCTCTTTTCGTGATGCAACTGTCAGTATAATAGTCTTGCATCAGGCACTGCGGCTTATGTCATGCAATTGCTGAAAAACCTTGAAACTTTTTAGCAGGTGTGCTGCCTTTGGAAGCAGGCTTCGCACACGTCTTGGTCTCCTAACCAGAGACACGCACATTGATTTCTAATTCTTGTCAGAGTTTACAGAATTCTCTGGCAGAGCATTCAGCTTCAAGGTTCTCCTGATCTAAGGCACAGAAGGAAGAAAAAGAGCAGGCAATTGAACTGTCTGGGTCCTCCTCCTCCTCCAAGCAGAAAGAAATGCATATGAAAGGGCAGAGAAATAGTAAAAGCTAGTAAAATCAAAAGTGTGTTTTTAAAAAGTCTACAAAGTAAATATGAATAAGTATGTTTATAATATATTGGAGGGAGAGCAAATACCATTTATCAACCCTTAAAGCCATGATGAGAGGCAGGTAACAAAGACAGTGATGATGATGGCAGGAATGTATTACTTACAACAGCCTTGCAGTGTCATCCACAACATTAAATATAAGTAAGTATATTTATAATTTATTTTTGAGAGAGCAAATACCATCCATTAACCCTGTAGTTGCAGCTTAAAGCCATAAGGAGAGGCAGGTAACACTATTATTATTACTATATTATTATTATTATTACTATTATTATTTTACTGACACAAAAACACAGTATGTCACAGCAAATGAGATATATATGCTGGATTATTATTATTATTATTATTATTATTATTATTATTATTATTATTAGGCAGGAATGTGTTACTTACAACAGCCTTGCAGTGTAGTCCATAGTTAATGTTACAGCTTACAGGTAATGTTCAAGTGACTTTGGATTTTTCACCATTTGAGGCAGTCCTCTGTTTAGAACCCAGATGAAGGGATTTAAATTAACTCTTAATCGAAATCAGCTGCAGTGAAAAGCCTTGCATTCCCTTGGTTTGCTTACATGAAGTACAAAAACTGATGTGA